AGAAAAAATACACAATTATCTGTAAAGGCCGTGAATTATGTAAAATATTCTTCCATTTTCCAAATATGTATCTGGGTAGGATGGGATTTTCTTCATACTCTTTGACCAAAACAACATATTGCAAGAATGAACACAGAAGCAAACTTGAGAATCCAACATGTTCTATTAAATATTTTTCAAACTGTCAGACAATGCTACTGTTCTCAAACCTGCAGGCTCAGGTAATCCTCTGACCTCGGCCTCCCAAGGCTAATGCTAGTCTTCTCATAAAATAATTTTGCTTTGGACAATAGTTTTTTAAAATAAATTATTTTAGAGTTAACATTGGTAATGGATTTGTTATTGTTATTTTAAAAGAAGTCACTTAATACTTTTACAGTTTTTGCATTAGTTTCTAACACAGTGAATGAGCACAGGCATAGTTCCACTCACACCAGGTGATTTTGGGCCTTCAATAGTCAGCATGAGTGTGGAAGGGTTCTGAGCCCCAAAAGTTTGAGAATCACTGGACAAATGTTTTAATATTTTTATATGAATAAAGGAGATTACAAAGATTGTAGTTTTATTTTAGTATATGCAAAGTTCTGTTTAGAACATGTCCTAATATTAATGCATTTTGTGAAAAGATAGAGTCCCCAGACTCTCAGTTTCTATATTTCATGGTACAAGATCACAGAGCTCAAGGTCAATTAGATAATTTCATACTACAGGGTCATGGGGCCAACTCCGATCTAACTAGTGAGTGAATGTTGATTTGCACTACCTGGGAGTGCACTACCTGGGAGAATACAACATGGGTGAATACAACATGGGTGAACACAAATATGTTTTAATTTGGGTTATAACTGCTTTTGAAAGTTTAAGTGTATTTTGTTCCTGACTCCTGGGGATCTGGATATTTCTGGGAAATGCTGTCCGAAAGATCTTGGCAATACATCTGTCCCTAGGATCTAGCGTGGATCTAGGATTTAGCATCACTAAACTATGGATTCCATGCCAGTCAAAATAGATGTTGAATACTGTGAAGATCTGACTGGAAGTCTCCGTTTCTTAGCCTGAGGTAGAAGGAACCGAGTTCATCTTGTCTGTGAGTTGTCAACTCAAACATAAGAAAGCAGAAAGGTGCCAATATGCTTAGAGGCACAGTGAGAGTGTAATTTTAGATCTAAAGCTCTCAGTTGTCATCCTCCACCCAACCCTGTTCACAGGTGGAGGTGAGCTCAAGTTCTCATCTCCTGGGGAAGGAAGGAATTAGGAAGCAGCAGTCTCCTGAGCTCTGGGACCTTCTCAGATTAGTGTATGATTAGCTGCACATAAAAGTAAGGTTTCCTATCTTTTCTCTTAGGCTTTTGTACATAAGTACAGAAGAATGTTATGTTTCATGAAATTCTTCATAACAAAAGTCATAATTTTTATGAAATGGAGTATTTTGAGACCAACTGTTTTAGCCCCAATAATTGTTTGTTGAAATAGTGCACAGGGAGGAGAAATATGAAGCTGAACTACATATATTCCTTTCTGTCATTAAGTCAATTGACAATGAAATAAAAGATTACATGGAGCAGAGAAAAAAATTCTACTTCAATACTACTCCTATTTTTACTTTGGAGAGGGAAGAGAAGTGAGAGGGGAAACACCCCTGGGGTTTCACTGGCTGGCAGTGGCTTCATATACTTGCTCATGGCATCAGAGCCCCATTCTTGGCCCATCTCATTTAAAGTCAATATATTTAAAAACGCCCCTGAATTTACACACCACACCAAGTGACATGCTGCAATAAACAAGCACAGGGGTTAGATTAAAAGTGGAAGAAATAAGTTGGCCAAAGAGGTTTGAAGTGGAATTAGTTTGTAGGTTTTATTTCCACTGGATTTTCTAGAGGAATTAGGATTCTTTGTTGCAGTTCTTTTTTATCTGACAGATTTTGCTTAAAATAGTATTCTATTTTTGCTATGAACCACTGTAGTTTATTTTGTTATACTTATATTTTATTAATAAAAATGATAAAAATATGTAATAACCAATTAAGAGATCAGCCTATATACTCTGGAAAGAATGTTTTAATCATCTTATTAAATTACAAGTTTTTTTGACAATTAGTAAACATTATTCCACCTCTCCTGTGGGATAAAAATAGCTAAAAATTTGTGTTACATCTAGAAATACTACCTAGAAATATACAACAGTCAATCAAATTTCATAACTCCTTTCAAAGTGGTCATTCTGCAATATGTAATTGTCTTAATGTTCATGTTATCAAGCCACAGATTTAAAAATAGTTTATAAATATCTGTGGTAAAAAAAATTACTGAAAGACCATCCTTTTTGTGATCATCAGTTTGGAAAATGCAATCACTCCTGTGTGTGCATAAACAAATAACTCAGTGCCTACAATTACAAGATACTATGGTGATATCAGCTACTTAGCTTTCCTTTTAAGAGTTTGTCAAGTTAGTGCAGCCCCAATTGGCTAGCAGGTTGGCAATATGGTATAATTATTTGTAGGGCTAATTCTACAGCAAATTTCCTATGGAAAGAGAAAAAGAAGACAAAGCTGCACTTTGTATTAAATGTCTACCTGAACTTGACAATCCCACCAGCTGATTTTGACTCATTAATCTGTCTCAACTCTGGAAATGAAATTACTAGATTAAATAGGTTAGTTTTTTAAAAAGTATATTTAAAGAACAAAAAATGACTTCATTTTCATCTACTTCTGCTTCTATGAATTGTGTAGGTTAGTTTCTGATACACAAGACCAAGAAGCTAGTTGTATCTAACTGAATACTTCATTAAGGATTCCTAGGGATGTCATACACAGAAAAAGGTAACCCATAGCTTTTTTTAAAAAAAGATATAGCTTGAGAATTTTGTCTGTGGAATAGATAGGAAATGACAGTTTGATGTTACTTAAACTTAATGTCCACAAGTCATTTTTATAAAATCTAAAGCACAGATTGTAGAAACAAATACTATATGATCAAAGCCCAAGTATTATACTCTTGTGAAAATGTGCAATTTTAAAAAAATAATCAATTGAGAAAAATATTTGAGCTTGCTCTTAACTCTTAGAAATTACATAAGTAGCGGTTTTTCTTTAAAATGAGTATTATGCTGTTAACAAAAATTACTACAATAGGGAAAATCTTTCAAATCTATTTCATATTTATGTACTATGAACATGTGTAATCTAGAAGAAAATTAGTTTTAATATTAGACTGAAAATAATGCTTTTGTATTTTTGCTTCTTTGACCAGATTATTACCCCACTTAATTTATATTCAGCAAGCCCTTTTGAAATTTGAAGACACTTCCTTTTAAAATTATTTCTTATTATCCAGTTTACCTTACCATTGCTTTTAAATGTTTACTTCTTTGGATCAAATGTTTACTCCTGTGTATCAAGCTTCTCTGCAGGGCTGACTGCATGGAAGCTTTTTAGAGGGTCAGAGGTGGAGTACAGGATTGAAGAGGTTTGTGGGAAACCATCTATCACACCTTGGTGCTTAGCAACATTGCAAAGTGGAGGTCCTGTTTCTGGTTCTAGTTTTGAATAAAATGGAGGAAGCAAAACAAAATTTCTCATACAATATCAGGTCAGGCCCACAATTTGTTGCAGAAGCAAAGGTTCTTGCACCTTATTCTAAGAACTCAGATCAGCTAATTGGGTCTGCAATTAGCCTCTCTGGTTGCCATCAATTACAAGTGCAATTTCTGTGTGTGAACTAATTTTGTGTGCAAAAGTAGTTTCACCAAAACAAAAGCCTGAATTAAACTAAATTAAAAGGCTCAAACTAAAAGGCTCTGTGC